ACTTTTAGTAAGTTATAGCTCATATAAAAAAAATTGAAGAACTTCCAGTACATTGACTTGCGTCTCACCCTTCTCCATAATCTTTCTTAAAATAATTTCTACAACCCTTAGTTCAAATACATATCTAAATACACCTGTAACACCATAACATGATGGAAAACACAGCAATAACAGCAGGGTGACAAAGTCCTCAACTGCAGAAAGTGAAGATAAGCCCAAGCACAGTGGTTGAGAATACAGAAACAAAAGAAGAAAATCTACTTACCCCTAGAAGACCCCAGGTACACAGGGATATCCAAAAGACCCTTATCTCCACTGCCAACCCTTAAATGAGGTCTGGGAAGGGGTGGAGCCAGGATCCACCCCATCTGGTCTCTCAGGTACATTGCATGCAGCTGAGCTCCCCTGGGTTGACCCTGACTTCCACCAGGTGCTTACTCACTGTTTTGGGCCCTGACTTAGCATTTCTACTACAACAGCTTATTATTCTCTAATTAGACTACTCTATGTTTTTACTTGAAAAATGTTATAAGAATATTAAATTTTCATACAGTCAAAAAATTAGGCTCTTACATGTTCTACATTAATAAGAATTCTGAAACCTATGTGGAATTTCATATCTAAACAGATGCAAACATTAGCTTCAGTTTAGCATTAAAATCTAATGAATTCCATGCAAATGAAGTAGATCGTAGTAATTGACAGATCAGTCAATTATTATTTAGACATAGATTTTGAAACTAGTTTCTCATTCTAGGCCAAGGCTTGATGCTTTTAATGGTCTGTGTGTTTGATTGTGTGAATTAAGGTATTAGCAAAAGTGCTAAGAATATCTCTTTCTCTGTTGTAGCTTGAGAATCAATTCCCTGTCCGTTACTATGTTTTCAGTTGAAATGCCCCCATGAACTCTTAGCTCTTCAGCCTGTGCAGCAGGACTGTCTTGAACCTGCAGTCTTTTCTGGACCAATTTGCTCCAGCTCCTTGTGACCCAGTGCTGCTGCACAATGGAATTCACACCCTCCACTTCCCTTTGAGGCAAGGGCAGCCTGACCAAGAGGTCGCACAGTCCCACCTGGGTCATGGACATCCTTCCACCCACCAGCTTCCTCTTTCCATAGCTGCAGTGAGTTCTCACTCTCCATGCTAAGGAGGTCTGGGCTGCTTCATTCATCTCCTGTCTCATCTATGATCTCCCCTTTCCCCACAGTGGCAAGGATGTCTTTTCCTCAGAATGTGTTTTCCTCTCTTTTTCTCCATTCTTTTCTTGTTTTACTTTACACCTGAAAGGCATCTTACACAGAGCCAACAGGCAAAGGAAATGAAGCTGTAGCTGAATTAGAAATTGTTGTGTACCTCAGCAAAAGAAGTTGAGCTGCAAACATTTGTGAAGAAATCTAAATAATGCTCAATTTAGTAGAAGATTTATCACGTTATGTCCAGACATATTTAAACAGAGGAGCATTGTCAAATTAGCAAGAAACATCTCATTGCTTCTTTGGTAGTGAAAAAAATTATATGATTGTGTAATATGCATTAAATATACTATATAATGAATAACAATGATAACATTTCTATACTTGGTTACTTCGATTAATTTTAAAAGCCTTCTGCAATCAGTAATTATGGCTTAGAAATCTCTTGTGGGAATTACCTTCTATTCATGGTTGAGGAGGTTGAAAATGTTTACAAGAAATTAACATTTAAATAATTTTCCTTATTTTAAAATTGGGTGGAAACAAAATTATCCTTTCAATTGATGACTGAGAAATGTGTACAGTGAGTGGAAAAAGACTGCAAAACAAAATGTCTGTGCATCTAAGAATATGTATTTTAACCATAAACTAATATTTAGATGATAAGCATAAAGAAGTCTAATAAAATGCTTGATGGCTGTATGCATATTATTAGATATACAAGGAAGTGATTAACTAGATAATTTTACATTAGAATATATGATAGCAGTGTAGCACATGGCATATAGCCAATTAATTCAAAAAGATTCAAACTGCTCATGCCACATTGTCCTAAGATGAAATCAAAGTTCTGTCTTTTCCTAAGAAAACTATGGTAGAAAATCATTGCAGGGACAATCTTGGACAGAGCAGTAACTACACTGCAGCAGAAAATTGGCACAATTGTATTACCTTGTCTTCCTGCACGGCAGCTTGATGTGCTTACATTGAAGTCTCCATCTCTTAGCTGTTTCGTAAAACACATTGTGTGTCTTCACAGTCTTATTCTAATTTTAGCAATTAAGAGGCATCTGGATTTTTAAAACAGCCCTTATAGAATTAGATTACTGTATTTTATCTTCTTTTAAAAATCAAATCAATAGGGAAATAAATATATAGCTTTGTTGTGCAATATAATCTTTTCTTACCAATTTCTTTGAGTGTGTTTTGTGTGTGTTGGTTTTTTGTTGTTGTTTTTTGTTTGTTTGTTTGTTTGTTTTTCCCTATTGGATGGCTATAGTCTTTGATTTAAAAAAGAAACAAAAATTGCTCTGGTGTTTGTTCTTACTGTTTTAGTAAGGACATAATATGATGAACATATCACGAAGGATGATAATGAAAACACACCATCAGCCCAGAGTCACAGTAGCATAGCTGAGATAGGAAGCAAAAATGAGAAACAGTACAGATGGCTGAAGGATAGCTCCCTAAACTTGCTCTTCAAGTGAGAGATGTGATTTCAAGATAATTGTCAAAACCATTAGCATTGTGGTAGTGCATACATACATGTGCAGTGATTATCCTGTACAGACAGTGGAAATGTACTATGAGAAAAATACTGTTTTTCTATATTATTAATATAAATATGTATTTCTATACATACAAGTATGCAATTCAGTAGTACTTTTCTACAATATTTTGAAAACATCTTAAAGTATTTTAGTTAGGTCTGTGTTTATTTTCAAATAATGTTTTATCATCATTTTCTGTCTTCCATTTGTGTGAATCAGATTTAGTGCTCTGCTCAATATCAGCCAATTTTTTCTACAAGAGAGTGGTCAGGCACTGGAATGGGCTGCCATTCCACACCACCAAGAGGTGGTGGAGTCACCATCCCTGGAGGTGTTTAAGAAACGTTTAGATGTTGTACTGAGGGACATGGCTTAGTGGGAAATATTGGCGATAGGTAGACAGTTGGATCCAATGATGGATGATCTTGCAATTCTTTTTCAACTTTGGTGATTTTGTGATTTTGTGAAAGCAGTAGGGACAACCGGACTCTGCAGACAGAGTGTTTTACAGGACACAGCAGTGTGAGGTCCCACATGCAGTTCTGCAGTATAATTTGGTACTTAACAGGAAAGGCCACTTCTCAAAGTAAAATATAGCTCAATTTTCATGCTGGTTTGCTTCTTTAGGCTGCTGAAAACTTTACCGGTTAGCCCAAACATCAGCACTTATTTAAGAAAGAGTTGCCTGGAAGCTCAAATTCCTTCACCTTACGCAAAACGTAACAGCAGCAGTTATGCCTGCCCAGACTGTGTCCAGATGAGACTCCTGACTGTTTTAGATGCAGTGGTACTTACTATGTTTTGAAGTGGAAGGATGACGAGTGCAGCTGTAAAGCGTTACACACACTCATGTCTTGGGTCTTCATTTCAGTTTGCTTTTCAACTATCTATTATTAACAGCTGTCATGGTCAGGAATTGTGCTTCTTTTTGGAGGATGAACTACTGGTAGAAAGTCTAATTCTTTTCTGAGCAAGCCTTTTTCTGTTTACATACATAAGCCTGATCTCAGTAAATGCTTTTTCCAGCTAGTTTCTATATCCTTCGGGAAAAACTGTATCACATGTATTACGAGTAGTAGTGTCCATGGAGATCCAATTACCTGACAAGATAACCAACTGTAGATGCAAAAGGTCACCGATATGCAGATTGATGTGACAATCACTTTTTGCTGCGACAAGAATTTGTTCAAGGTGAAAATAATAATGTGCTTTTCTTCCTAGCTGTTATCTTTAGACTAATCTAGAAGAACAGATGTAGTGGTTACAGCAGAGAGCGAGCTACCTATTAAACCTCTTCTAAACATAAAATTCTCATCCCTGTTTATGCTGAAGCTGATTGGTGTTGTTATGAAGCAGCATGACAAGCTTCTGCCCCACAATCAGTCTGGCCTGGAGGCAGATTTACATCACTGTTATTTCTGCTTGTTAACCAGCCTCTGCCCTTCATTGGCTCAGAACAACTGCACACTGCCACAGACATGCAACTAAAGAACAAGTACACATTGCATGGTATGAACAGGCCAGATAACATTTAGTATTCCTGGATATTAAGGAAGATCTGCTGTGATATGTCTGGGTCTCTTCTCTTACGAATACAGACTTACCAACTGAGCAGATAAAATTTGACAGTCATGATTTCTCCCTCTGGTCCCATGACAGCTCATGCTACTGGTCCACTTGCTCAAGCCCACTCAGAAACTGGAAGACACACAAACTTCCCTGTTTTCCCTGAAGGTATTCATTTTGTTGACACTGTTGTTTTTTCCTCTTGCCTGCTTTGTCTCTTTTAGATTCTGTGTGTTCCAGGAACTTGTGAACATTATTCTGCTTCAGGCTATACTTCTGGTAAGAGTCATATGCCCTTAACTCAAAGAATTTATTTTGTTGCTCTTGTATAATATGATTTACTTTGCCCTTGTGTAGGAGCTGGGATGGATGCAGATGCTAAAATAGCCACAAGTGTTTTGATTATGGGAATCCTCTAGTCATAACTAGAGAAAGGATACATTCAGTTCTGCCCTTGATGTGTGGCACAAGTTTTATTTCCTTACATAAGTACAGCAGGCAGAAATGAGCTAAAATGCTGGGAAATAATGAAATGCATGACCCAGAAAAAAGACAGAACAGTAAAATAATAATAATACAAAACATTTGTGCACTACAGTTAAAGAAATAAGGAGTGGCAAAATTGTTAAGCTAGCAAACCTTCAAGAAAGAGTTTCATTTCCATTATAGATCTGAAGAATCAATTCTGATATTCTTTTACATATGGAATTTTATTCAGTTTTTGTTATACAGATTATCCTGAGGCCTCTATCTGGCTGAGTAATCTTTGCTTGTTGATGAGCGCAGGACAATCCATTATGAAGTCAGTGACCATCTTACTGCCTTGAGGAATTTCAAAAATGAGTCCTTAAATGGCTTTGTATTGAATCAGCTTTTACATATCTTATGTATATTATTCACTACAGTGCTATTAAGCCAGTGCTGAAGACTCCAACCAATACTTAATCAGAGGAAGCTTTCATGGGGAATAATGAAATACAGTTTGCAGAGATGGCCATCAGTTACATGGTGCAGCCTTTTTTGATTGGAGCCCATTCTTCTGTCTTTTCATGTTTGTATTATGTTAAAAACAAGATTTATTTCCTTTTAGTTGTCTTCCATGTGTTCAGACCTTGGGATTATTTCTTTTGTTGGTTCTGGGACAATAAGTCTGTGAATTTCATTCTTTCATCTCTAGAATTAGATTTCTTTGGAGGAAAAATCCTGGAAGTGAAAAGATTTCTATGAAAATATAATTTTTTTATGAAAACACCATAAGAAACATTTAGAATTGAGGTTATAAGTACTCTAATTTCTAAAATTGCTGTCAGAAATATAGTAAGAAGAACGAAAATCTTAACTAGAACCATATTTTTTCTAATATGATCATACATATATAACACAAGTTAAGCAGAGTAGATGTAATATTTTTAAAGCAAAAATCTACTCCCTAAGTCAGAGTTAAAACAAGAAGAACACCCATTTTAATTATAAGAAGTTGCAGCCTTTTTGGGGATCTTATAGTAACAAAGAGAACGATCCAAGTATAAATGAAGTGATACCAACAGAGTTTTCTGATTTATACTAACTAACTAAAAAAAAAAAAAAAAAAAGAAATGAACAACCCCTCTGTCTTCCTATAAGAATGTTAGCAAACTCAATATTTAAACAGTTTAAGACAGCTTTTATAATACTTGAACTTGTAGATGTGCTTTCATAATTATTGACAATTACTACATCTAAATAAGGGTTATAAAGAGACTACAGTAAAGGTATACTGATTTCTTGTATTTCTCATCATTTATTCCCTTTTGTAATTTGAAGCTTTGTTATTAATAGCTTAGTGGGGTCCCAAACAAATTTCACTGTAGATGGGCTGAGTACTGTTGCCCATTCTATCAGGATTTTAGACTTGGTCCAAAAGCCATCACGAAGATAAAATCTTCACAGTAAAATAGTTTTCTGCTACTGGAACCATCCAAAATTAGACATTATTCTTTGAAGTCAGAAACGTCTACTGATAAGACGGGGGAGAATGAGCTCCTGTATTGCTTTTGGTGTTTGTATGGCATCACAGCAAGCTGTTGCAATGGGGACTAGATCCCTGCCAAAATGACAATGTGATATGTAGCACTTCTTCAACTTCACTGCATGTAACAGAGTACTACACGGCTTGTGCTAGTAAGATCTTCGTGCAAACCATGGTAACTAAGGTAAGTGTGAAGGCAAGAACTGCCCTTGTCATATTTATCATGCTGGCCCTCAGATGCTGTTGAATATGTTAACACTCAAAATTCATTTACATAACACATTTGCCAAACTGAAAACAAAAAGTTCTTTTATTCTCCATCTAAAGCCTAGGGCCATATTGTTGCCCAGAAGGAAAATATATTTTGGTTTGTCACAAGCTGAATAAGAAAGGTAGCTGCAAGTGATCATGCCTGAACAAAATCTTTTATTATAATTATTTTATATACCGAAACTTCTATCTGTAGGTTGGAACTTGAATCTTCTTGCATACTGAAAACTTTATCAAGGACACATCCAGTAACATACATGCATGATTTCACTGTGAGTATAAGGATTAAGGATGTTTCAAGTTGTAAGAAGGAAAAATTCATTCTATCATTTTCTTCATTACACTCAGCAAAACTTCTACAGTGCATCTGTTTGCAAGTTTTGTTTTACTTCTGAATGTATGAAGGCCTTGGAGGGATTGCCAGTATATTATTATTCTGTCAGAAAAAAGCTTCCCCTTGGATTACAGATAGATTAGATGGACTGTATCTAACACTGGATATTTATTAAGATGACCACTTCCATCACTTAACTATGGTGATAATGATCATGAAGAAACTTGAAATGAATGAAAGGCATTAAAAGCTAAAAGGAAAAAAATGTAATTATCTCACATAAAGAAGGAAAAGCAGTTAAATCTAAATAGTGTAGAAATTCCCCACAGGACCTTTTAATTACCTAAGAAAAAGCAATATGAGTTTAAAATATTTAAAAAGGTCTAAACATAATTGCGTAAGATTCACAGTTCAGATTTCTATCCAAACTCTGTAAGTTGAACGAACAAAAAATATTAAACATTTGAAGCAAAACTGATGTTTCAAATGTTGAAACTGTCTGTATTTTTTTCAGAGAAGGAAATGTGAGCTATTCTAACCCACTAAGACAGCAATTTACATGGATGTTGTGCTGCTACAGACAGTGAAGAGTTTTAAACACCTACTGAGCTGAAAATATAGCAGATAAAGTTTTATTTTTCACTTGCAACTGCGCTTTAAAAAGTTCAGCTAGCTGAGCACTTAGCTGCTGTCCGATGTCAATATAGCATTCCTCTACTGTGTCAAAGAACCCCAATATCTATTGCTGTTTTTTTTTTTTTTTTTTAATACATAAATTTGTCATGTCTTAGAGTACTCTTCAGAAGGCACCAATCTTGATCTTCTCTGAGCATTTGTAAGGTTTTCAGTGGAATTGCCTTTGCACTTTGATGTATGATGCAACATTTTGAAAAGAATAAGAAACAAAGCTTTGTTTAGGGCCATTAACAGTACTCTGATGACACCTCTTGCACACAGATAACACTTCTTTACTTCCACTCTTTTTGGAGATCTGGCCAGGAAAGAACAGAGTTGTTGTGCAGTAATTTCATTCAATATTAGTTCCTGTACTTCGTTGACTGAAAAGACAATTAGCTCTGGACAATTTCTTCATCAAAGTGATTACATTATCTGTATACTACAGAATCATACTGTAGTCTACACAATAGCTGTTTTTAACTGTTATAAGATGTTAGAAAGCAAGTTGCTGGTAAGGTTAAAACACAATAAAAGCTTTCAAAATAGATAAAAAAAGAAAGCATAGATGAGGGATTGAGAAGTGTGGGCAAAAGAGTAAATATAGTAGAAAGTATAACTACAAATCCACAGGAATTAAAATGTTAACTTCAGTGTTAACTACTACTCTTGAAATAAGCTTTTCTTTTTTTTTTTTTTTTTTTAATGTTTACAGTTATATCCCTGGTGCGTGAGCAAGACTTACCATTCTCTTCTTTTTCACATTCTCTTTTTGTCTCTTATTTGCCACCTCAGCTTTCTGTCCTCCAGGAACTGTTGTCTCTGTGTGTCATCCTTTTTATTTGGAGTCACTACAGAATTCCAAACCATTGTAAATAGGTCAGAAATACAACCTAAATAAAAAGGGAATACACTTTAGGAAAAGTTGGTGGGTTTTGCGTGGTGTTTTTTTGTTGTTTTTTTTTTTTTTTTTTTTTTTTTTTAAGCATTGTGAAGCTAATTCAAAAGAAAAAGGGCTGGACAAGTCAAGAAGAAAAGACATTGCAATTTTTATGGGTGTTTTTGTTCTGTTACTTCAAACAAGCATTTAAAGAAACAAGATTATTTTTTTTTTCCTTTTTTGCTCCATTTTCAAATAATAAGAATATTATTAAATTCAGTGTAGCAACTTGATGATGATTATTCTGAAACACGTTATCTCATTGTGCTAAAGGCCCAATACAATTTCATCTGGATATTTCTATTTCAGGTGTAAATTAAGGCTACTGTTTGTCCTGCATTCTGGAGGAAAAGGAGCACTACATATTAATGCAAATCTGGAATGTTAGATTACATGATAAAACTCATTTTCCCACCCACAGAGGAATACAGAGGGACAATGGTGGGTGGGGGGGGGCCAAGTAATTCCTGCACCAGCACCTCACAAGCCCTCTCCAAAAGCCATCAGCCACCAGAAACTCATCTTCACAAGCCATGATGAGCATAGGATAAAATGGAAATCAGAATAAAGGACTCAGAGGAAAGGATGCCCTGCCTGGCTTCCTCTGAGCACTATCTCAGGAGAGCGTCAGCCCAAGTTTGGAGAGGAACAAGCGTGGAATAATGGGGTAAGGAAATAGAAAAGGCTGGCCAAGCACTGGTCAGTGCAAAGATCAACCTAATGACTAGGTGAAATGGCCTGGAAATAAGGGTGGATGGGAATCCTCTCTAAGGGACACCTCTGGGTGTCAGAGTTGCAGGAGAACAACTGAAGTACTACTTCCTGTATTCACACTGATATTGATATGATCTCATGATTGTTCCTCTTGGAATTTATTGGTTAAAAAAATAAAAAAGTCATCTAAATGCTAGAATACAAGATACCACGTGGAACTATTGGTTGCTCAAAAGTTATACTAATAAAAATCAATGAAATTTAAGTAATTATGAGCATTGAATCATATTATTGTTACAGAGAAACACTGCAGAAACTCATTTCCCACACAGAATGAAGTTACAGGAAGTTAATTTTTAAATAGCTTGTTTTCCCCAACTCTAGGCACATCTAGGAGAAATATGCCAGAACTCTTTTTTTTTTTTTTTTTTTTTTTTTTTTCTGCTACCTGACTTGTCTAACTCTGTTCTGTCACTTGTATCCCACACACATCAGGAAATGACAGATTTTTTTCACAGCATACACAGGCCAAGAAAAACAACAACCACTAAAACGAGGAAAAGATCCACAAGATCATTCCAATAGTAATATCTAAAATATTCCCTTCCTCTCGTGAAATCTTTTTCTTGGAAACAACATGAACTCAGGTATGTCAAAATTTTTAAATGTATTGTCCTGCTATACCTCCAAATAAAATGGTCATTGAATATCTTGTAGAATATTCAATATATAATGCATCAAATCTGGCCATCCTCTGTATTTTTTTTTTCTTCCCATTCTATAATCATTCATAAGGATGCCTGGTTACATAAGGCCTTGTAAAATGTGATGGGTTACTTAATATTTTTAATAAGAAACTGTACAGAGAAAAAAACAACTCTGTTCTGAATTGAAAAGAGGGAATCAAAAAACTACTTCACCCAGAAAATTTTGAAAAAAAACACATTTTAGTGCTACAAATATGAATATACACTCTACTGTTTCAGTTCTACCTAATGTTCACAATAGAGAGACACGGTAAATATGCACAACTCTTAGAGACATTCAATTCCCTCTTTTCCTTTCTTCATTTTCCCCATAAAAATAAGTAGTATTGCCTTGAGAAAACAAGTTATTAATTATTAGGACAGCTTACAGTAAAGAGAAGTAGACCTTATCTTAGTGAGTAATGACTATGTATTTCACTATTAAAGGCTATTAAACACATCAGTGTTTCTTTCACAAATGCAACATTGTCTGTGGAATTTGGAGGAAGAATGAAAGTTCCTTACCAAGTTTTCTTTCCCACCCACTCTCTTGTACCCATCTACGCTTTCTGGAGTGCAAAATGTCAAAGTATTTTTTCAGCATATAGTTTGAATAAATGGTAGCCTATGAAATTACCAAGGGCACTGGTCATTTTCTCTGCATCTTGTACTGGGTAAGGACAGTGAAACGAACAGAAGGGTCCAATCTGTAAACACTTGGCTGGTACCAATGACAAAACATTAGTAATGTTGACAATGAAAAGGCCTACATTGCGCTGGGTTTGTCAGCACCAGATGGGTTGCGTTTCACTTTTCTCTAAGTGGGAAGAGAGTCTGTGGGGAAAAACTGGCAGAGCTCATTGGCAGGACTTTAAACTGAGTTTGAAGGGGAAGGGAGGTAATAGAGAACCTGCCCATGATAAGCTGTGGGAAGGCATAGCTAGGTCTAAGGGACAGGGTGCTAGCAGGGGCCTTCAACCTGGTATCCTGAAATGTGTTGGCAACACTGCAGCACACTTGAAATCTTATGACAATGAGACATCTCTTCAGGAAGTTAGGCAACAAAATCCCCCGGGAATCTGCTCTCAAGGACAGCGGAGAGGAGAAGAGCTGGCAGATCTTTAAGAAAGATTCCTTAGGACATAAGAGGTCTCCATTCCCAGGTGTAGGAAGTTGAGAAAGGAAGGCAAGAGTCCATCATGGCTGAACCAGAACCTGCTGGTTAAACTGGAGGGCAAGAAGAAATCACACAGACAGTAGAAGACATTCGAGATCAGGCTGAAGAGGGCACTGAGCAACCAGATCTATTTGTAGCTGTCCCTTTTTCATTGTAGGGGAGTTGGACTAGATGAACTTCAAAAGTCCCTTCCAACCCAAATGATTCTATGAACTATGAATGATGCATGATACTATAAAACCTATTTTTCTTGTTTCCCAATAAACAAAAACTTGAAAATTTATCTTTGATTACTTTATGTAATCTACTGTAGTATAACTTGTCTTCATATCTTGAAGTTTTCTACTAGGTTTGGTTGGCCAAAATACTGAAAATCTAAAACCATTAATGAAAGTAGATATGTATTTGAAAACTTTATATGGTGGTAAATGGATTATAACCATTGAAATAAAAGCATCATATCACCTCATCAGAATCAGTCCTGATTTACAGGAAGTTCTCCTTTAATCTTTTGTAGATAAAAAAAAAAGAAGAATCCTGTGCATTTTTTTTTTCCTGGTAATGACTCCTTAACTACTGTATCTGACAGTGCTTTATTTTGTAATAGTTTGCCATGTTCCTAGCAGAAGTGCAGTGCATGAGAGAATGATCTTTTTGAGTAAAATACTTGTTTTATATTCTGTATTTTTTATAAAAGGCTTGCAACTGTGAATTTTTTCAAAAAATGTGATCTTGTGTTAAATGTGCTAAGCTATGTAAAAATAATTCTGAGTAGATGATCACATGCACTACAAATATTATACAAAAATCTATCACAAATATACCCTATTTCTTATTAAGTAAATATATGCAGAATAAATACGAAAAAATGTACCTGCCATTGATAGGCATCTAACAAGGATACACAGAATTGTGAATTCTGTGAATTCTTGAGAATTGTGCTAGAAATGTAAAAGTCCCAAGATGATGGAATTCACCCCTCTGAAACTGTAACATGTACTATATTACATTTGAGTCAACAAATTGGTATTTCTAAAAAAAAAAAAAAAAAAAAAAAAAGTGAAGCTATGATTCCTAGCATGTATCAACAAGCTTTGAAATAGATTTCATGCATGCATGTTTTTTGTGTGTGGTTTTTTTTTTTTTTTTTTTTTTTTTTTGTAATCTGATTTTAAATGTTAACTAGAAGCAGGATATAAAAAAAAAAGGTACGGCAAAGATGATTTTCAGTAATATTGAATGTTTGTGTGCAATTAGCATACAGAGCACAACTGGCTGATCCCTCCCTGCAATTACTCAGTTCTGATACAAGCAACATTAGATGTCTGACAGTAATAGCCAGGAATTTGGAATGTTTATTTGCATGTACCTGTAACAAGTTAATCTGTCTGAATTTTTCCTTATATTTCAGAATTAATTTGTGGGGGCTTCGAGCGTCCTTCCTGTCAAACTGGTTGCTAGTGTTACTTCATACAGTTATCTAAAGAAATAACGGAAGCCTTCCAAAACCAATGAAACCAATTTTTAATTGTTATTTATTTAAATATTGGAATAGCCACCATTTCAGATCCAATACATTTAATACTAAGCCGCCCAGGAGGAGGGATTCTCTCCCATTCTGTGTTAATAAGACCCTATTTAGGAACTAGGTGAATGCGCACACTAAACTAACACCATTTTTATTTTGTGTAACATCAGGGAGAATTTCCTGTTCCAAATGTTGCTAGACATTACTCCAGAAAACAGAGGGGGCACAGGAAATGAAAATTTCAGGAGAAAACATGGCATCCCCATCCAAAGAAGGAGGAAGAAATGTTTGCTTTGGTAACAATGGTAGGTAAAAAGTACCTAGAGTTTGATCTGGCATACTGATGTGCAGCTCAGATTTCAATGAACAAAACAAATTGCTATGAAGCAGTCACCCTTATATAATGAATTGGTTGCTTGCTGCACTGTGACTTCCTTGCAAAAGTCATGCCTACCACTGAAAAATGCTTCTATGAAAATATATCCCCACCAACAGTAGAGTTTTTCTTTTGTTAAGTAAAGGCTTAGCCCAGTGACTTGACAACCATGACAGAATGAACAGTGCTTTTAACTAAGAGAGTTCAATTAGTAGCAAACACATTTCCTGGAAATATAACTTCACCTAAATCGGCGAAGCTTTCCTGGCAGAACAATTGCTGCTGTACACAACAATCAGGCACTTACCTGACCTGATTTTCAAAAGTGCTGAACATTTAACACATTCATTGTAACTGCTAAATTAAGCACCTGCAACTGGATTTAGGAGCATCATTAGCTATAAAATTCTGTGCCCTACCACTAGTGCTCTCATGGTCTCTGATAAGACTTGTGCAAACAGAACCACCCAAATGTATCAGTGAATGACCACTATGTTATTCTTGTGCAGCAAAAGAAAGTGATGACAATGCCTTCTACAGGGATAAAAGCACTATGGAGCAATGGAAGATGACAAGGAAGAAAAGTTAGTTCACCCTTTCCCATGAGTGATGGTAGCTCAAGAAGAATACAATCTCCACCAAAAAAATACACTGCTCCCTGAGCTGTTAACCCTTAAATGAGGATGAGGATTGGGCAGACACAGGCTCTACCTCTTCCACTCAGATGCACTGCTTGCACCTCAGCTCCCTGGATTAGCCACACCTTCTCACCTTGTCTTCAAACATTGATTCAGGCACTGACCTGGCAATTCCACTGCCACACTGTAGGATATATATTTGATTAAACTGGTTATCAGAGAAGTCTAAGAAATTTGTGAGATCTTATTACCTTGAAAAATAAGATTCCTTGTTTATTTTAAATAGCTACTTTTTGTTATTGCAGCCCGAATATCCTAGCTTCATGCAGTTAATATATCCACAGCATATATACAATATATATTTATATAGTTCTGTTAACAGAAAAATAAACATAATTCTTTCTTACTGTATCCCACAAAACTATTATAAGGTTGTTACAGTTGGTGTTACAGGTGGAATGATTATCGTGGTGGAAATAGAAAAAGAAACAAACAGGGAAGAAATGCTCACCTACATCCAAAGATCTAGGTTTGCAGGAAAGACTACACAGAGGAGGGATCTCCAGAAAGAGAACCTTCCCTAGTGGCAGCCAGCCCTTAAATGGGGTCTAAGAGGTACAGCCAGGCTCCACCCCTTCTGGATACACAGAATTGCCTTCACCTGTGCTCCCAGGGCTGACTTAGTGCTTGCCTCAGGTGATCAATCAGTGTTCAAGCCATGACTCAACAGTTCCCATGCAGAGGTCAAGTTGAGAAATCCTCACATGAAGTTTTGAAACTCTTAAAAAATATTTCTAAATATTAAAAACTCTTTATATGATAAAGCCACTCTTTCATGATCTAGACCTAAGGAATGGCTGAGAAATACCCATACAATCTCTCCGTGATGTAAAACAATGAAAAAGGGCAAAATATGCTTAAGCAAAAACTTTTTGAAGGCATGTTGGTAACCATACTTGATTAGATATGATTTACTGGCTAAGTCTTTTAATTTTTCCTCTATAAGTTGGCATATATTTTTGAACATAACACAGTCTTATTATGAGAGATGAATCCAAGGCAAAGAATGTGTAATCAACAGTAACATACTATCTTATTTATTAATTGAAAAAGTGGAGTATGCATTAAAGATGGTTATTGTACATGTATCGTCCTGTCATCTGTGTAACAATTCTTCATTTCCTACCTCCCCCAGTCCTAAAGCAGTGCCTAACTTATCTATGACAGTGACAGCAGTAATTCTTATATAATGGAACCTGCTTGACAGATAAAAATATTCAGGAAAAATTCAGATCTTAATTTTGTCAGTAAGAAATATTTTCTGAACCCATCTTAAAGAATAAAATTATAGTTCCTGCAATTAGATAAAACATAAAGAGCCTCTGTAATGAGTCACTTGAAATATTATTTTTGTACATGTCTAAAACCCATATGTTTTCATTCTTGCAAGATCCATAGCTTTGTGAGAACTTTGCTATGTGGTGGATTCGATCAAAGTTTTGCAGGGCTTTCAGTTACCACTGTTATCTGTTTCCTCGGGTACACAGCTCAAGATCTTCAAAACACGGCCTTTTCACAGAATCATAGAATCGTAGAATCTCCAAGATTGGAAAAGACCTACAGGATCACCCAGTCCAATCATCCCCCGATCACCAATAGCTCTCACTAAACCATGTCCCTCAACAAAACTTCCAAATGTTCATTGAACACCTCCAGGGTCAGTGACTCCACCACCTCTCTGGATAGCCCATTCCAGCACCTGACCACTCTTTCAGAGAAGTAGTATTTCTAACATTTTCAAAAGGTCCAACATTTTCAAAAGGATGGACAACAGTAAATCCATAGTTTGGAATAACCAACGTAATAGAATTTGTCCATGGCTTCTGGTTACAGGCATAGGTTTTAACTATATGTACAATGTGAAATGTATTAATTTCAGAAGATTCTTCTTCTCTAGGAAGCTGACTGCGCATTCAATCTGTCCTTTTTTTTGGCTTCCCTGTTGCTCCATGGTCCTATGACTTTATTAGCAGTATCAATGTGGAACATTTGCTGTACCCCACCAGGATTGTTTTTCTCCAACAGGAAACTGGGGACACAACATCACAGAATGGCTTGGGATGGAAGGGACATGCCAGCCACTAGACATGCCCTGCAATAAAGCACAGTGAGGCATAAAGCCTCATTATTCTGTGTTGAGGTTGGAGTACTGCATAGGGAAGGAAACAAGCATCAAATTTGCTCATCCTTACTGTGGGTTGGGAGGTATCTTAGAACCACAGCTGTGTATTCTTCTGGAGAGAAAAAATGGACTCACTCCTAAAGAGATCCTGTGGCTGGACATATGCATGTAAATAAACAGACATGCACAGCTCCAGAGGGAGCTGTGAAGCTAAACTGTCTGGTAGCACAGACGTATGACTTGAGACAACTAACATCTCTGATCTCAGGAGAGTGTGACTGGGAGACCATAGAGTATTCCAGACTCAAACACCATCTAGGAGAATTCATGAGATATCCTTGAATGGAGATTATTAGGCATATGGCCACCCAGAGAAAAAAAATTGAGAATGCAGAATGTGGGAATCTTGGCTAAGAGAAGGCTCTCCACACTTTTCCCATTGCCAAAATCAAAACTTGATATGTATGTCTTCCTGTAGAATCTCCTGTTTCCTTAGAATTCAACAAAGGAACCCCACTGCACAGGACATATACCTGTAATTTAATGAATTTTTCAAACTTGCATCATTTTCATGGCTGGTTTTTGAGTTTTTGTTGTTGTTTCCCTCTTTTCTTCTTTCCTTCAGAACTGATGAATAGTGTTTTCTGCTGGAATGGTCTTTTCCCTGAGAAATGCCATTTACATATTAGAGAGCTCTTTGTGGCAGCATTCATAGCATCATGTCACCAATTTGAGTGGCCTAGAGTTGGAACTAAGATGAAAAAACTATAGTAAAGTAGCAGTGCATCTCAGCAGGAACTTCCTACCTCAACAAATGCCTTCAAAATGAAATTTCCTATTGAAATCTGAAAGTTCAGCAAAAAAATTCAAAGAGGGATAGACTGAAGGTAAATTGGGCATGAAATGTAAAATAAATTGAAATGTAATACGTCCAACACAAACATGAAAGGATACAACAAAGGGAAAGGATAAATCAGAAAGTATCTATTACATCCTTGTTTATTTCTAAAGTAGTCTAACTTTGCTAGCTGGTATTCCCACTTAGTACAGTTTCCACTATAATCATTTGTTTGCTTTGCAAGGAGTGCAGCTGAATCCTTTTGAACAAAACTGTTCCTGCATTTTAGACAGGCATGTTCAAATGAAAAAAAAAAAAAAAAAAAAAAACCTGTCTCAAATACCAGAGCTGAAACTTGTAACTTGAATTTTCACATTAGAACTGCAGACTATATGATATCTGCACTTTGAAGTTCTGAACAGCTAAAATGGAATGAAAATGAATATCTCTGACTGGAACCATTCCAGGATTTTTTCCTGTCTCAATTTTCTTGCTTATTACCTTTGCAGCTTCCACTGATTTCTTATTTCTCGAAAGGTATCTAGAACATAAAACAGAAGGGCTTAGTACAGATACCAAGAAAGCACAGAAGAGAGAAAACACAATCAATGTATTTAGTATTTTTGCATAAAACTATGCTTTCTTACTGCTACTTAAAGCAAAACATTCATTTTAATAGCAATAAATAAACTGATTACATTGAGCAAAGTCCTCACATTCATAATGGTATCCATCTAGCTACCAAAATATGTACAAAAATAGGGTTTATGTGACAATTGAAATGAAAGAGCACGTTAAATAAATTCCCTTTTTGTTGCTCAGATATAGGGATTCCTATAGCAGGATGCTGGGAAGCTACCCTCACAAAGATGGCAAATTCCCTCAAATATACACCAGAGTAACCTAAACATCCAGGGCCTCATTCAAAGTGAAAGTCTCATCAATATCATTTGAATACATCAGCATCTGTGCTTAGCTCAAGGTCATGTATGATTCATCGCAGCCCAGCATTCCCTGTTCAGCTATTTGCTCTTCACAGCTTGAAGTTTCCAAAAGATGATGCATTTTTACTACCTACTTCTGAAGGTGGCACGTACCATGAGATTTAGCAAACAACAAAGGCAGCAAGTTCAGCCATCAAGTAATTTCCATTAATCAAAACAGTTGAGAGTCTTCCTGTCTAACATAAGGCCCAACTAATCCTGTAATACCTGGAAGACTGCAGTTACAGAGCTTTATTGGAGACAGCTGATCACCACTTCAGACACTCTGGTACTAAGCAAGATCACCAAGTTCAGCTAAATAGTGTGTTGTGTAGCACATCACTGAAAGGATACAGAAGTGCATCCAGGGCAGGATCAGGCACGGGATGGGACTGAAGATGATAACAGCATTAAAAGGAGCAGAAATGTTGCCCATGAGTGTCCCTGGATACCTCAGAAATAACCTGGATGTTTCAACATTCCATAGTCACTTTGTAAATCCAATCAAGATACAGATAGGGCAGACTAAGACTGTTTTCTAGAGTAGAGGAACATATTGCCTATCTGGTCAGTCAGCCCACTTAAGGATTGCATCTCTGAGAGAGAGGTGGTACCCTCTTTGCACAATGGAATAAGTTTAAACATTTTTTCATTAACATAGAAATGAGCAAAAGTAGGTAACAACATTCAATTTCCTTCTAGTTCTGTAGTGAAACAGTCACACTATCATTCTTGGCCCATGTCATGAACAGGTACATATAGATGTCTATCTTTCACTCTTTATCCATACACTTGGCTGCTTCTTGTTAACCTCAGTGTATATTTCTGGAACACAGGTGTGTTTGTTGCTCTAAATCACTGACAGCAGTGCTGACATGCCTGTGGTTCTCCCTTCTTCAGATTATCTGCTGAAAATGCTCAAAGAAGTATGCACATGGGGCTGCTCGACTGGATAAAGGAACTCAAACTAGTTCCTTTGTTCAATAGTGATGACCTTCCTGGAGCCACCTGCAGTGAAAAGTACAGTGCTTAGATTTTTCCTGCTGCTGGGTTTGGTAATGAACAATTGGTACTTGTAGTAAGCAGAGAACACAACTGGTTTGTTTTTTTAAAGCATATATATTATCCTCAGACCAATAAGACAGTGATTTTTTAATCACCTTATTTATTTTGCATGTAAAAGACCCAAAGTTACAATTTAAGGCAAGAGTCCTGCTGCACTACACAACTAGCTCTCTGGGAAGCAGAGTTGCAGTGTAGTTGTCACCAGCAATGACCACCAATCTTAGACAACATCTGTGTTAGATTCTGTATATAAATTCTGTGCATGGTTGTGGCAAGAACCTCCAGCAAACATAATTTACAAGCAAAGACTTCACAGCTGCTATTTTTGTCCCTCTTTTACTTCTGGGACCCCAAGTCTAGCAGGATCTACTAAGCAATCCTGGAGCAACTAAGCAATCCAATATCTTTGAAAGTGGTACTGCGTTTATTGAGTGTTCAGAACTGTAAATCAGTTAAACTGCAGATCCTCCTAAAATAATTACTTCTTGCCATTTATATGCCCTGAACTTTTAAAGAAATTATACTACCTAAGCAACAGGGTGTATTTAATTAACAAGTACTCCTTCCACGGATAGGAACAAGGGTTCCTTCTTCTGTTAGATGCCACTCAAACAGAACAGGAACACAGTTCACGCCCTGAAAATCATGAAATCTAATTTCTCTGGAGTGCCTTGATATTTTCAAAGTATCTCCCTTGTTTATTAGGCCAGAGTGGTCAAAAAAAAAAATATCAATGTGAGATGAGGGAGGTTTTTCACTCCCTAAAAATGTAGCAATTCCTCCTGGTCTTCTGAAATAGAAAAGGCTGCCTGCTCCTCAGGGAAGCTACATGCAATGTCAAAAATTCTACTTTGGGTTTTGAGTACAGCACTTTTCTCCCCAGAGCTCAGCTGTACTTCCAGGCTCCTTCCATAGTCAACATCTAAAAGACCTTACAATACAGGCTTATAAAATACAGTAGAAAAAACAGCATCAATTTTCCTTTTTTTTTTTCTCCCCTAAGCTCTGCAGTGCTGTTATTTAGAAGCATAATGAAGGCACTGTAGATTTCATACACAATTTCCAGTGTTCTGTAAGCACTAAATTGTTTTCTAAAGTTCTACCTGCTACAGAGATGCATGGCTTCTCAGAACAGAACCTTCTCCTGTTTCTTTTATTGGTTTCTGTCTTACACAGTCAATGCCGCAGCTTAAATGAAGAGTAGAAAGACTAAGAGCAATGGACATTGTGGAAGAAACACAAGAGAGTGGAAAGATGAAGGTACCTGTTGAATTCATATTTTACTTTGCATTGACATACAGTTGCAAGAAAATAAAATACTTCCTTTCCTGCTTTGCTGACAAATGGCTGCCTGTCTCCTTTAGGTGTATTAGTTTGAGATGAAAATGCTTATAAATTTAACCAATTCTAATGTATAGCAGTTGTGAAATGAAGCAAGAAAAATAATATTGATAAAGTTAAAAATATTGTTTCAGAGAAACTCTTTAAACAATACCAAGCAGTTGTCTCAAACTTTCCGAACTTGAGACTAATGTCTTTGCTGTTGTGGCACAGAACCAGAATCAATGACAACAGATTAAATTTAATATGCTAGATGTGTTGGCTACATTTTGGAAGAAACAATCTCAAGTCATCTTTATCCACTGCAAAAAAAAATAAGTCTGGTACATTTAAATTTAAATGCACGGGAATCTAAGTGAATGAGGATGCATGCAGTTTACTTCAAGAGAGAGAACACACCTTTTACTTCAAGAGAAAGAACTCTGGGATATCTTTCCAGTGCCTTTGGTATATGATAATCCCCTCAGAAAGTATTGCTAAACCAACCAATGTGGAAGGTAGGTAAATTCAATAGAAGATTTCGGGTTTTAGTGCTTACTCTGTATAGTAAAACCCTTGTGGCTACTGAAACTAGTTGGAAAAAATTTCCAGATCCATTTTCATTTCATGCATTTTTTTATCAATTTTATCTCTATTACCTAACGCAACGTTTGCTGGAGATGCTACAGTTCTGAAACACTCGTGAGATGTGCTGCCTCACTACATGTTGAGAAATATAGTATCATAGAATCATCAAGGTTGAAAAAGACCTCTAAGATCATCCAGTCCGACAATCAACCCATCACCACCATGCCCACTAACCACATCCCTCAGTGCCACATCTATACATTCCTTGAACACCTCCAGGAACAGTGACTCTACTGCATCCCTGGTCAGCCTGTCCCAACACCTCACCACTCTTCTCAGAAGAAATGTTTCCTAATATCCAACCTGAACCTCCCCAGTGCAACTTGAGGTCATTCCTTCTCACCCTGTCACTGTTAGCTGGGAGAAAAGGCCAATCCCACCTTGCTAGAGGGAGCTGAATAGAGCAATAACTTCTCTCCTAAGCCTCCTCTTCTCCAGACTAAGCAAACTCAGTTCCTTCCAATTTTTGTCTACGTGAGGGAGAAGGGGTTTCTACTTTTGCTGATATCTGGAATTCTCTCATGCAAAGGAATATTGCTGCAGAAATAATGTTATTTTAAATCTAATTAAAATTCACCAGGGGTAATGAGAAATCATTACTTGCAGCAAGATTTGAGGCAGGTCACTGGCAAGCACAATTGACTATGTTCCATCTGGTTATGCCAGACAAACAAAGTGCTGGGGGAAAATTTTCATATACCATTTTCTCTGTGCATTTGCTTATTTCAGACGTTTCTACTAAAAACTGACATCACTTTGAGACTTTTTTGTCTTGTGGAGGTGATGTTAATTGCTAAAGAAATATGTTACCCGCTAGAGAAAGAGGTGTGAGACAGCCGAGCATCCCAGTGCCTGCTTTATTCATTGATTAAGAGGTAATTTCAAAATGTAGAGCTGCCTAAAGTGTCTGCTGGATAGCTGGAATGTAGAAAGGGCAGTGAGAGAAACCCATAGGGGATTATTTCTGTTTGGTTGAGAAGCTCAGAGTACTTGCCAAGCATTAGTGGCATAACCTACTTTGACTTCATGAAATGACAATCAGAGCGTGGCCAAGATGAATTCACAGATAAGTGACAGCCTTGGATTTCAATCAAGATCTCATCTTAGCAAAGGCTTTGGGTTTTTGTTCATATTTTTTGTCTTGACAGCAGGTTCCACATGTTGATTATGATCTATGTTCCTCTCATCAGTTTCTGCACCTCTGAGAAAAGCAAATAAAATTATAAGGAACTCAAAATATTTTCCGATTTATTTGACCTAAAGGGTTCCAGCTCTAAAAGGGCCACTGTCTATATGCAGGTTAAGAAGACCATAACTCTGAACTGTCAAAAAACACAAGTTACAAATGATTTTTTAAGAAACAGTAACAAAAATAGTTATTACTACCTACCTCTTTTGTGTGTCCTTCACGAAGGAGTCCTAGAATTTGTTGTGAGTTTCTGGATACAGAATTTCATAAAGCTGGATGACAGTTTAGATGTGATGTAAACAACCTCTTATATGAAAAATGTAGTAGAGAAAAATGTTCATTAAAAGCTGAAAATGAAATCATTATATTTAAAGATAGCTCAGTTAACACACAAAGAAAAAAAAAAAAAAAAAAAAAAAAAAAAAAAGAGTATCTTAGAATACAGAGTAGAATTTAAGCTATGGAGCTGATTCACTGATAGATAAAACAGAAGCAAATTAGACAAAAGTTAACAGGATTTCAAAGATTGCACACTTAAACAGCTGATTTCAACTTAATGGCTGGCAGACCTTTCATGTTCATTGTCAGGCTTATCCTTCTCTGTTTTTCAGAAACAATAAGTACAGGATGGATGTGTGTCTCATTTGTGGGACTCGGTTTTCAAAAGTGATTTAAATGACTATCAGACAGTACAGGATTCACAGGATGGATAAGGTGTTCAACAAAGGGAGAAACATAGGAGGTACACCTGAAATAATATCAGTAGAAGGTGATAAGTGGAGTTTCTTATCTATCACCTCTGAAACTGACTTTTTTCAGTATTTTCAGTAATAGCATTAACCTAAGGAAGACATATGCCAGTAAAATGTACTGAGTATGTTACACTGGGATCCATTACATTATCCCATATTGCGGGGGACTGCAATAGCAGAATTTCAGTCACAAGGACTGAAATGAAGAAAATGGGAATGAAATCAGTATTACCATATGCAAGGTGATGCACTTGAAAAATACTGTATATCTAAACTATGAACTGGGAGTTCCTTTGTGGAAATAAATAAAAAAAAACCAGCTGTAATCTCAGCTAATTCGCAACAGGTCAAATACAAACCCTCAGGAAGATTGAGGGCAGGAAAAACAAATACAATTCTGTGATATCTGTGGAAAGCATTTCAAGGAAAGAAAGGAAAATGTATCATAAAAGATACTGATGGGACCCCATCAGGGATACAAGATAAATTCCTGACTATCAGTACTGAGAAACAGCAGAGCAAAACAGAACAGGTAGAGAGAACTACAAAATTAGGTCTATGCTGATATGGGCACCCCATAGCATTTTCTGTCTACATTTTGCTGAAAGTTAGGAGGCTTTTGCTGGAGGTTATTGCTGTTTTACTTCATATGTGTGCCTCAATCTTCTTCCAAAGCAAATGGATGAAAATGGAGCCATGAACCTCCAATTTTCACCCCACTGCAGATCCTACTGTCCAGAAGTAAAGTTTCATTCACCAAGTGAGTGAAAGTCTGTTTCTATTTATAATCTAAAAGAGACAGAAACAAAAACAACAACAAAAAAAGCTTGTTCTTTCTTAATGTTGCAAAATGAAGTCTTATCTGGAACAATTGCTATCTATAAATAGAGAAGAGCGTTAATACCAGGAAGAGAGAAGATCTAGATGATAAAACTATGATAAAAGCAAATGGATAAAAGCAGCCTATGTCCCTGTTTAGCTGGGTTCATAGCAAATATCAAAGCAGTGAAATGATGGGCAATATTTCAAAAGGAGACCTAGCAGTTTTCAAGCATTATTGCTTTTACAGATGGAATTTCAAGTGCCTAGGAAGAGAATTGTCAGATATTGTGCTTGTGAAAGGAAAGGCTGGGACTCAAAAAAACCTACTGGGACATCCTTTGCAAGATTTCACCTCAGTAATTGTTTGATGGTTGTTTCTCATTTATTATTAGTTTTTATTTAACTACTTTCATTACATAGGCTGACAGCTCACAACATTGCTTTAGCACAAAAGCAGGTGAAATTGCATTAAACAATTTGCAGAAATTTAAGAATGCTATTCCAACAATTTTACCTACATCAAACAAATCTTTGTTCCAGTAAAGAAATACTATATTTGTTACACAACCTTTGCCATTATGGTGTATTAACCACCAATGATTATTTGAGATCACACTAAATACTTGACTGTGACATATACCTTGTGTCATCTTTAAGTGTGGAGATACAGGTAATCTTCCAAATTTCTCATTTATTTATTTATTACTACACAGAGTAATCTTTATACATTTTGAGTTCCAGAGGCTAGACCATGAGCAGCTAACTGCCTCATTAGGAAAAAGTATTTAACACTTGAACTTTTAAGAACTCCATTTACCTGTTCTTACTGGTTCAAGTCCACCGATAACTAAAATTTACAAGGAAATTCTTTGAGGGTCTAGCAGCACACAAATCCCTTTGCTATTAAGCAGATCAGAAACAGTCTCTTTTTTATTCTTTGCCATAACATACACTATTTTTCCTCCATCTTGTTTTCACAGAAGGCATTCACAGAGGTAGCCTGTGGCCTGGTAACAGATTCATCCCCTGGCATTCAAGCATTCTGGGACCTGACCTGGTATTAGGCAAGCAACCTGCAGGTGTAGTTTCCACACCAAGAGCAAGGCAACTAAAATTAATGCACACCTGTGTGGCACTATTCCATGCTGGAGCAGATGCCTGTAGTGTAACCCATGAGAAACCCACACAAGAACAAGCAGATGTTCCAGAAGAAAAAAATCCTGACTCCACATTCTGGATCAAGGATGTGAGGAGGAGAGGCTATGTATAACACTATGTACTGTCTTTACATTCTCTATCTTCCCTTTGTCTCCAGGAGTAAAAAAGGCTGAATTAGTGAAGCTGAGCCTAGGAAAGGAGGGAGGAAAAGTTTGGTTTTTTAAATGTGTGTCTCTGTTTCTCATTGATAAATCTATTTTAACTGGCAGTAAACTAGTATCACCAAACTGATCTTGTTTTGCATACAACAGTAAGTTATGTCAGTATTTATCTTGAACCAAGAGCTTCTCATACCTGTTATTTTATTTTCCCATCCAATTGGAGTACTGGTGGCAGTGCATGAGCCAGTAGGTTGTAGTTTGTTAGCCAAGGCTACCTCACCGCATAGTTACATCTGGAAGATGAAACAAAATAACTGCTATATAAAACAGCCGTGATAAATATTGGGACTTCACTCTTTCTGGTCACCCTCTATAGTAGTACTTTTTTTCTCAACCACATGTATGCCACAAGGTTGTTGTTCTTTTAACACAGAGGCTCCTATTTCACATCTGTAACTCTTGTTGCAGCACACCTACCCACAAAAAAATCTTTTTTCAATCACAGTATAGCAAGATTAGCAAATTCTTTTTGTATTCAAGGAATATTAATACGAGTGCTTCTATATTATAGTCCAATAAACTTTTCTGAGGGCGGCACCTACATAAACTTGCCTCTGAAGAATTATATGCTCATCATAAAACTGTCAATTAGATTTCTGAACATTCTAAGATAGTACAGAGCAATTCCTGCTGTAATAGCTCACTACACTGACATGACATTCAAGGCCCAATGTGTGCATGCTCAAGAGGGAGTCACATTCTGGAATGAAGCACAGCCAAGTGCTGGACTGTCAGGTGAAGCAGGCTGAAGCTTTAGATTGCGAGTTTGTAAACAGCCATAGTTTCAAACCTCAGAGAAGCCTTTTTCAGAAATCTAAAGTGGATTTGAGAAATTACAAGCACCAAAATGTTTTTAGCACGCTTTCTGTGATTTATTGTAGCACATCCCATACTCAGACAGTTGCTCAGAGGATGCAGACTCTGAATAACTCAAAGACTTGTGACATCTTCAGAGTGTGCTTTTTTTTTTTCCTGGAGATGAGAAAAAAAGCTAGGTTAAATAATGTGGCTTTGTAATAGAACAGTGATCTAATCTTTGTTTGTTCTTTCCACTTGCCTGCACAGAGAAATTAGTTATTTATCAAGTGATGATGCAAACACAATAACTTTTCTAATGTGTGTACTGGAGACAGGAGTTTGGAGAGAACATCTGTTGCATGCTCACATCACTCAGTACAGCTCAGATTTAACTCATGTGGACAACAGATGCTTTTATTCAGTTTGAAACGGCAGGATGATTCAAGGGTATGTATTTTCCTGCAAAAATTGATTTATTCTGTTCTTCAGACAGGTTTGAATAACATTCTCTGAGGGCATGGACAAAGTCAGACAAAGACAGAATTCCTGCTCACAAATTTCAGTCACTCCCTAACTTGTGGGAGAAGCGACATGCTGGCTTGTTTCCATGGATATGGCATAGCACATTACAGCCAAGACACAGCTAGTAGGGCACAACACAGCCCACCAAACATGTCCACTGGAATATAGTTAAGTTAGAGATTGGCACTGTTTATTATCTTTACTGGTTCTGACACAATTCTGCCTGCACCAGTTCCTTAATATGACCACCAAAAGTCCTTGTGGGTGCTACACTCATACAACAACCCAACCAAAAGATCTCCAAACAGAAAGATTTACAAACATACTTCCTTCTTCCTGCTGTGTCTTTTCACAGTCCCTTCCAGCCCCGCTCTCAATCTAACAGGCTTCATCAGATTTCTAGTTGCAGCAAGTACTGTGTTAACCTTCTGCATCTGTAGGGAGCTTGTGCCAAGTCCCAACTTTTACCTGACATATCTTAGCATACACCAATGCTACAGATTCACCAATTCTTACTTTACACCTCCTCCTGACAGTTTCAAGATGAAAAAAAACATTTCCTAAATCTATCTGCTCACTTCCTCAAGGGAACAGATGAATATTCCACTACTTCCCTTCCTTCCCTATTCCAATTTAACAATCCAGACACAGAAACCACACTTCTCCCTGCAGCCCTCCCACTGCCCTTTTAAAGGAGCGTAATACATTGCATCTATAAACTTCAGCTACCTGTTACACAGTTACACAATTAGTCTTCAAGCAGCAGTGAGATCTGTTAATTACTGTTAATTTCTGTTACTTACTAGCACCGAGATGGATTTGAGCCTGCCTGAGTTGTTCCTAAGGTTATATAAAACAAAAAAGAAGGTTCTATATGCATTTGTAATGAGTTATGCAAGAATACAACATAAAGGCAATACTGCTATCTTTATAGGAATAATTCTTGCCTCAAACACATGGAGTTCTAGCATTTTCCTGTCTCTGGTCTGAGTACATTTTTATCCTCATTTGGTTTTGATAGCATCTGCTTTATAAAAACAGTATGTTTTCTTGCCTTAAACAACTGCTGTACATAGGGGTTGGCTAAGGAAAATTATTTCAAAGCTTAAACTCTTTTCTTTTGGTTATGTGTCTTTCAAGGCTGCTGAAAATACTTTGATAAAAGGCACATTGCTTGCTTCAGTAATTATAAACTGATAAATTTTTCTGAATGCGACAGCTGCAAAGATTTTCACTATTCTCCTTCAGTTTTCTAACTACAAGCCTGCAGATCATTATGTCAGTGGTGGGAGCACAATAGTATTAGGAAAATTAAACTGTTTTTGAATACACTGAAAAGGAGAGGACTGCACAATTGGTGCAATCCCTATGCAGTTGTCAAAGCCTATTAACAATCCTCCTCCTCTGCATTGCTTTTTTCCATAATGCTCTTAATATTACATATACTCAGTGCAGGCCTCTAGGTTAAAGCTTCACTGTAAAAATCATAGAAAAATTACAGCAGAAAAGGACCTCTAGAGGTTTCTTAGATTAAACTTTTACTCTAAACAGAATTCACTTCAGAGATATGCCAGGTTCTTCAGCAGTCCTCAGTAAAGGACTGAGGATGGTTTCCCATTGAGGGAAGATGACTATGAATTTTTGGGTAGTGTGATGTGATTTAGCTGTATGAAATAAAAAGCACTAGGAATAGTTATTACAGGCCAGATTAACTCCAGGAAAATCTCAATGGTCTAAGTCATAACAACATGGCCAGCACATCAAGGGAGGTGATCCTCCCCCTCTCCTCTGCCCTGGTGAGGCCACATCTGGAGTACCATGCCCTCTCCCTGGGCTCCTCAACTCAAGAAAGACAGGGGACTTCTAGAGAGGGTGCAGCAGAGTGCTACAAGGATGAGGAGGGGTGTAGAGCATCTCCCTTATGAGGAAAGGCTGAGAGAGCTGGGACTGTTCAGCCTGGAGAGGAAAAGGCTGAGAGGGGATCTTATCAATGCTTATAAATACCTAATGAACAGTAGTTGAGTGGGTGGGGTCAGGCTGGTTTTTTTTTTTTTTTTGTCAGTGTCCAGCAATGAAACAAGGGGCAACAGTTGCAGACAAGAGCATAATCCACCCATAGAGTTTGTGGAGTCTCCTTCTACAGAGATGTTCAAAACCTGACTGGATGCTTTCCTGTGCAAAGTACTGTAGGGAACCTGTTTTAGCAAGGGGAGTTGAACTCAATGATCTCCACGGGTCCCTTCCAACCTCTACACACCTGTAATTCAATGTTTGTGTGCAGGGAGAGCCATGGGAAGAGCTGCCTGAAAAGCACTGTGTTAGATATTAGATGAGCAGAAGAAAGAAGAGGTAGAGGGAGGAATGGGAAAGAATATAAAGGAAGAAAAAGAAAGGTTTTTGTTAGGCTGCCCACTTACAGGAGGAATAGCTTTCTTATTTTATCATTCTTCAGCTTGTAACAGGCATTTTATGAAAATATCTTTTCTCAAGTACTGATTTATTTATCCTCTTTGTAATGAAAAACAAGAACCTTTCAGATATTTACATTAATGGGCCATGGTTTTGGGTCTGTTTTGCCTCAGTTGTACTTTATATGGTCAGCAGGATATGAATGAATTGATTTAAAATTGGTCTAAACAGTCTATAACTGAATGCTCTACAGAGGGAACACCTCCAGATGTTCTATATGAGGAGTGTGATGGCTCTGTACCATCAGATTTTGGCCTAGTTTTCGTCCATCAGCATTTCAGAGAAAACACGGTAAAGGAGCAGGGGGAGTAAGAAAATTGTGACTGATACGCACAATGCTTCAGTAGCCCTGATGAGCACAGCCATATCTATGAACCAGGATTGCCACTGAGAAATAGAGAGAAAAAGAGAGAGAAAAAGAGCTCTAAGGCACTGGTTTGCAGATACTTGCAGTGTCTGCCCAGAGCATGACTCGTCATGACTGACCGTGAAAAGATGGCTGAGCAAAATGAAGCTGCATGCACCTCGTAACTGTGCATTTGTCCTGATCCTATAGAACCCTTGGCTGAAATCAGCATAGTACATAAAGAAGTTTTTCACAGATTATTAGAATAAAAAAAGAAAATACTAGCATTTGACAAGAAGTATTTGTCTTGAGAATTCAAGAAGTCTGATACACACACATACATTTTCACAAAATCACAGAATGTCAGGGGTAGGAAGAGACCTCGAAAGATCATCTAGTCCAATCCTCCTGCTGGAGCAGGGACCCCTAGATTAGGTCACACAGGAATGCATCCAGGCGGGCTTTGAATATCTTCAGAGAAGTGATCCTGCAACCAATCCAGGCAGCCTGTTGCAGTGTTTTTTAGCTTTACTGTGAAGAAGTTCTTTTTCGAGTATTTATGTAAAATTCCCTATATTCCAGTTTGCACCTGTTGCCCCTTGTCCTATTATTGGAAGTCACTGAGAAGAGCCTGGCACCACCCTCCTGGCACTTACTCTTCACATATTTATAAGTATTAATGAGGTCACCCCTCAGTCTCCTCTTCTCCAATCCAAAAAGACACAGCTCCCTCAGCCTCACCTTGTAAGGGAAATGCTCCACTCCATCATCTCTGTGGCTCTGTGCAGGACCCTCTCAAGCAATTCCCTGTCCTTCCTGAACTGAGGGGCCCAGAACTGGACACAATATTCCAGATGTGATCTCACCAGGGCAGAGCAGGTTGTACACTATCCAATTGATTTGATTTTAAGCCTTTGCCTAAAAGACTAGTTTTCTTCTTTGCTTTATTTTCACAGAATCACAGAATCATAGTGGGTGGAAGGGACCTCCAGAGATCATTGAATCCAACCCCCCTGCCAAAGCAGGTTCCCTACACCAGGTCGCACAAGTAGGCATCCAGGCAGGTCTTGAACATCTCCAGAGAAGGAGACTCC